GGAGCTAAATGATTTTAGCTAGTGGATGCGTTGTAATCAGCAATTGGAATTAGTGATAGTAAATATCAAGAGCAAATGAATTCTGGGTAACAGTGAAAGAGCAGAGGAAACTTCATTTAAGATTTGACAGTGCTCACATCATCCAAACTCAAAAAATGTTTTCAAGAATATGGTCCTGACATGCAGAATTACTATCAGCTGGAGACCTCCGGGTCCTTTGGCTAAAACCAATCTCTCTTTTTACGACTACTGAAGTCACCATGTAATAACAAACATACTGCATAAAGTAACTGGCAGTTCTGGACTCCAGGTTCAGCTGTCAGAGGCTGTGTAACTCTAGGCTTGGATCTAAATGTGCTGGTAATTGGTTCGCTTGCATGTCAAATTTGAGGATTGGACTAAAATGGGGATTCTCAAGGAATGGTCCTTGGGCCAGCAGTGCCAGTTTTATTTGGGAATATCCATGAAATGTCCACTATCCAACTTTGCCTTCAATACAAAAATTCCCCAAGTCCATAAGGATGGGGCAGAACACTGGCTTAAAGGACCCTCTGGTTTGTTTGGATGCACATCAAAACATTACCACTCTCCAGTAAAATTTGGTTTTAATATTTGGATAATTGGACCTCACCTCATAGCATTTGACTCAGAAGTGCTGTGTACCCGGACCCAGAGATTTTGCTCTTTGAAAATGCGGCTGATGCTGTTGGCCAGACACTGCATTTGCCAGGTACTAGCCTAGATCTTCTCTGTGCTCCAGTCCAGCTCTGGGTCCATCAGCACTTATGCTCTCACGTGTCTCTATTCCTTCTCTTTACCTAAACAGTCTCTGGATAATAGTTATCAGTGAGGACTTTGTTTTTTTTAAACTTCTTAATTTGTAGAGTGTGATAGAAAGGAATGGTCCCAAATTCTTACAGAATGAGTTAAGGAAACACCTATACTTTTGTTATTTAGTGTTAAAAACAACCCCAGGGACTGGAGAGATGGTTCAGTGCAGGGTATTTGTTGTGTGCATCTGAGGATCTGAGTTAGAATTCCCAGAGCTTACATAAAGCTGGGTGTGGTAGCACACATCTGTCATCCCAGTACTCTTAGAGCGAGCTAGGAGGCAGAGGCAGGAGAATCTCTGAAAGCCTGCAGGCCAGCTAGCCTAGCATTTGCAGTGATCAATGACAAAGATGCTCTTAATCAAGGTGAAAGTTGAGGACTAGCACCCGTTTGTCCTCTGACCACCATAGGTGCGCTTATCTAGACACAGCATTCACACACATGAACATACACATTCACACTACAGAAACCATAAAAAAACACATTATATGCATAATAAAAATCAAACAACCACATTCATTTGCTAAACGCTGCAAAAACAGTACCTTCAGATGGGCAATCACAGCCAAGAGCTAAGGCCTGGCCCCTGTCAACTGCTCCTTGTGTTGTCTGCTCCCCGACACAGCTGATGGGAAATTTGGTTTCTTTCTAAGATGCTAACTAATAAGGAGCAGTAGAGACCTATATGTCTCATCTCCAGACAGTTTTTGTAATTCCACCTCTTCCTTTTTTTCCAAACTTTCTTCTTCCTAGAAACTTGGGACTGGATTACACTCATCAAGACATATTGTCTGCTAAGTGCATGACGAGCCTCCGCTCTCTCAAACGAGTGACTCCGTTAGCGCAGATTTTCCTTCTTGGAAGTAGAGTTATGAGTAAGATCCACTCTTTCTGCTTATCCATAACTTGATAATTTTCTGTTATCAAGTATACAGAAAACTAAAGAGCCAATTTTGACTATAATACTGTATCACCATTACGTTAGTGAGCGTGCTGTTTTGGCTTTGGTTATCTGTTGTATCCTTACAATGACTGTGTAAAGTGCCTCGTCTGTGTTCACAGCTTTGACAGAAAGAGTCAGGGGAGTTAAGACTTTCAAGACCACACAGCTCAGAAAATGTAGGGTACAGACTTGGACTTGGGCTTGTTCCCTAACAAAGACAGTGTACGTTCTCAATAAATGTATGCTGTGTAAATGAAGGAAGTGCATTGCGCTATCTTCTTTTAAGAGTACTTTTGTCAATTCTTTTTAACATAATGCAATTTGGTCATGTTCACCCTGATCTTCTGCTTGTCCCTCAGTTCCTCCCAGATCTATTCCCACCTCTCTATACCTCTGTATGTCCTCTTTTTTATTTTATTTATATGAACATTTTGCCTAAACATATGTATGTTTACCATACACATGCCTTGTATGCACTGAGATTAGGAGAGGACATCAGGTCCCCTGGAATTGTGCTAACAGATGCTTGCAGGACTCCACGTAGGTGTTAGGAACCAAACTCTGTCTTCCATGAGAGCAGAAAGTGCCCTTAACATCTGGGCCATCTCCACAGCACACCCCTGCACCCCATCACTTTAAAAGGAACTCATCTAGTACAATTTAGACTGCCCATATTCTCCCTCCTGAGTGGGAGGCCATCACCTGGAGAGTGGTCAATCTATGGGGCCACATCCTTAAAGAAAACTGACTCTGTACCCCAGAAGCCATCAGCCATCCATAACTCCTCAGAGGTAGAGGCTCACAAACTTTCCCTTCTGTGCTGGAATGTTGCTGGCTTCATCGTGTGCAGGCAGCCACAGCTGCTGTGAGCTTGTGAGCACAGCCATCCTGTCATATCCTGAGCACACTATCTTCCTGACCCCAACTTCTTAGACTCTTTCTGCTCCCTCTTCTGTGATGTTCTCTGAGCCTTGGAGAGGTGGGTGATATAGATGCCCATTTGTGTCACTCCACTGGCACTAGCTTCTTAATGGTAGATTTTTAGTAATTAGAGAACCATAAAGTTGGAATGACTCCATATGTTTTGTGTGTGTGTGTGTGTGTGTGTGTGTGTGTGTGTGTGTGTGTTTATACACACACACACACCTGCTTGTGTAGAAGTATTCAGCAACTCTAGGGAAAAGGCAGGTGCTGCCCCATCTCAGAGACATTTTTGATAAGCTTATCAGAAAATTCATCTTTATACAATGCTTTGCTAAAAGCATTACATTCTTCTTGAGACTAGTTCTCTCCCTGTCTGCTCTGTCTTCCATACATGACACATGACATGTTATTCTCTCTCTCTCTCTCTCTCTCTCTCTCTCTCTCTCTCCTCCTTCCTCTCTCCCCCCTCCTTCTCTCCCTCAAACTGAGTAGGGGTGATTTCTTCAACTGCTTCTCACTTCCCTAATACACAATAGCAGCTTATTACATTGATGGGTAAAGAAGAAGGAAGAAAAGAGAAACATGTTGCCTCATTTTCAGGGTAAAGCATCTGCATGGTGCTCTAGGCACATGTTAGGACCACATTTCTGGAGGACCATGAAAGGGTGCCCTATGCAGCTGTCACTCATAAAAACATTGTGTTCTGTTTTCTGACATGGAACATGCCACTTTCATCTTGGACATCACACAGGGTCACAGGAAATGGGTCAAACAGCAAACCTGGTGCTTTTCTTTCAAGCTAAAGGTGAGACATGGGCACCAGGGGCTCAGCACCAGTTTGAGCAGGCTAAGTGTGTTCTCCCATGGACAAAGCTTGGGCTTAGCTCAGCTAAAACAGAAGAAACAGCTGCTCAAAGCTACTTTCTGTCACGCCCCGCTGGCAAGGTAGTAATTGCACAAAGACCTTTTTATTATAAGTTGATTTTCCTGAGAAATGAATTCAGAAAAATACTGTAAAGTGTTTATATTTTGCTTGCCCTTTATTAACCCACATCTTGGGGTATTCCCCAGAGAAAGACTGTTGGCGAATGAAACCTCTCAGACCTGCACAGACACATGTGCACGATGTCCCTGGCTGGGAATGGCCAGGGCCAGGAGAAGGCAAGCTGGTACTGTTTAGATAGGGGCATCGCTCATATATGGTATTTTGCCTAAAGAAGAGAATTAGGAATTTAGGCCGAGGAACCATTTGGGTGTGTGGAATTGTTGGCAAACATTTCTATCTTAAATAGTATATAATGTAGCCCTTTCCTGCTTTTAAAAAGCCATAGATTTGTCTAAACCAAAAGACTGTGCCTTTTGGCACATTTCTGTTTTGATCTTGCAATGAGGAAAGTCCCATAGCTCAGCCTGTGGACTCAGACCCTAAAGCCAGGACAAAGCCTTCCCGCTCCACCGTGCTGGAACCAGGGCAGCATGCTAGAGCGAAGAAGGGAGCTAGGAGATTAAAATGTGGTTTCCAGGAGCATGATTCTGTCATAGCTCTGATTTCCTTTATATGGAGTACAAATACTGATGGAGAGTGAATATTTCTCTCTTTCGCATTTTTGTGGTCTTTGATACATTTATTGAGGTCAAATGAAATCTGATATAGTAGGATTTATTATGAGTTGTTCAGTGGATACAACTCCATAATTACTGAGCTACATGGCAGTGCATAAAGCTGACAAGCAATTTATATGTTGCATCGAGGTGTGTATGGCAAAGGATATTAGTTTAATTGGGCGCCAAGATATAGTAGCCTTAAATCTGAAGCTCTGTGTGTTTAATATAATGCAGCGAGGCTTTGGAAGAAGCTTCTCAACGAGGGAGACACAGCTTCTGAAATATATAACAATTAGACATTACTTTCTGGACCAGGACACTGAATACTTTTTCTCGACGACGCTCAGAATGCAATGCAGGGGAAAGGGCAAAGCCTCTCACTCACAGGGTGAGAGAAAGAAACATTTAGTTTTCTGTTCTTTCTTTAAGAAAAAGGGTGAGAAAAACAAGTCAGGAGCCATTAACCACCTAGTGGAAACAGGGGTGTGGTCGGGCTATGGTGAGTCCATGGCATGGATGTCCTGATGACATCTAAGGAGAGGCCTTAGGTGACGTTTGCCTGTATTTTCTCAAGTTCAGATCTGGAAGGGGTTAGAGGCAGGTGGCCGTGCAGGCACCAGAGCAGCTCCAGCAGTGGAAAACAAATGCTTTTGGCGACATCTGCTCCCTGTCTGATCACAGGCTCTCTTCTGTTTAGCAGGTTCAGGGGCACATGCCTCCGCTCATGATCCCCATTTTCCCACATGACCAGCGGACCCTGGCAGCAGCTGCTGCCGCCCAACAGGGATTCCTCTTCCCCCCTGGAATAACATACAAGCCAGGTAAGTGGAGAGCTGCGGCACGGTTTTGGAAATGCTCGGGCCCACATGTTTTTACTCAGTAGTCACAACAAACACAGGCGCATACAAGGGAGCTATGGATAAAAACACACACAAAACAGCCTATTTTAAAGTAAAACCAGGGCTGGGGAGGCGGGGCATTGTAAGAACTAATTCTTGTTAAACTGAAGTCTCTAGGACTTGGAGTTTCTTTGCTCACGTTTGTTTGTTCTGAACTCACAGATGGAGTCCTGGGCTGCTCTAGCTTCTCTCTGTAGTGCACCTTTACTGTTAGCTGTGTCTTCGGTTGCTCACGGATCCTGTTTTTCTCCCTTGAGCTTCCACACACTGGAAAACTAATCACATACAGTAGAAAACGCTGCTGTTATTTTTTGTAAGATTTCTTTCAGAATAAAAAAACAGCTAAAACTGCTGATTTAATTAGCTCACCACTAATGGTAAAGTTCTTTTTCATTTTGGTCTAAATAATGAAGCATTCAGTAATATTCTTCATTCATCCTTGAACCTCAAAAAAAAAAAAAAGCAGGTCACATAACCTTGTAGTGAAATATGCTTTGAGATGATTTAGCAAATGTTATGATTTTTCTTTTTTCCTCTGAGTTTACTGGACTCCTGGGGAATTCAATTAGGGGCATAATGGTTTGAAGCTTTTTCAGAGCCTCCTTGTAAACATGGCTTTAAATGTTTAAAGATAGGTTGCCAAAGGAATCCAATGTAAGAAAATAGCCAAGTACACAGAAGCCAACCTCAATTTCATTTGTGCGTTCTTTGTAAGTGACCCCAGCTCAGAAGTAGTGACCTTGTTCTGCTCATTAATAATTTCTGTGTCAAGTTCTTTTTAACACATTAACCTGATTATATGAACCACCTAGTCAGGGTATAGCCAATCTGAGGGCAGTGGTTTCTTTGCATATGTGGCTTCAAGTGTGAACAAAGGCATTTAAATATGCCTGACCCACAGATATAAACCTCCTCGCAGAGATGCTACAGGAGCAGATGGAACAGCCCGGAAGTCTGCCCATGAACGCCTCACTTGTGTTTGGTAGGGAATTCCCTTCCCTGTGAGGAAGGCATCTGGGGAGGCTCAGCTGATCCAAGGGATACCCGTGCTGAGGGACTGCTCCTTCTGAGGGCTGACAAAAAAAAAAAAAAAACAAAAAACCTTCAAACACAAAAAGGTCAAGGATAGGCTTTGGAAATGATAGGTGTACAATGATGTTGAAAAGTTCTGGCTTTCAAAACACATTGTATTCATTTTTTTCTTCATCATTAAATCTGTGCAGATATTCTAAAATCTGAGGTACTGCTGGTTTCCACATTTTAGATTAGGAGTGCTGGTCCTGTATTCCCATGAGGTTTTTAGAAACCTGAGTGGAAGAAATTATGTCATTCAAATTATTAAACATTTGATTTCCTACAATGGAATTCTCACAGCAAGTTACCCCTCCCTATAAAGTTGGCCTCCGCATTAGGTATAAGAGAGCACATGTCCATCGGCTCTGAGTTAGTTCTTTATGGCAACTTCGTTTCGACATTGATGTAAACTGAGTTTATTGTTTCATCTTGATTCAGAGCTGGCATCCCTGACCCAGTTTGGGGGAAGGCTTTCAGTATTTTTCTGAAACCAACAGACATTATCTGTTGGTTTAATATCCTCTGCAGCTCCAGACCACACATGGGCCTTGTTCTTTGTTATTGTAGACATCTTACTGTATGGTACTTAATTTGATTATAGCAATGGCGTCATTTCTCAGGGGTTAGATATGGCTATATGTTCATTGAATTAAGGTTGTTTCTCTCCCACCGGCGTTGTTGAGGCTGTACCATGTAAGATGGGAACAATTTGGTACAGGACTTAGTGACTTTTCAGTAAACTCAGAGATGTGTACTTGGATAGCAAAGATGTGCTTGGTTAGGCTGGCTAACCCTGTTGAGAGCAGCACAGTGGGGTCAGGTTTGTAGGAAGAGTCTTACTCACAGGCAAGCTTCTATTTCAAGGTATTTTCTATTAACCTAAATCTTTTATCAAATAATTTATGCAGAATTTTAAGTTCTTTAATATTTTGGTTAATCTAAACTTTATTATAAATACAAGCTATGTTTGAAATGGATTAAGCACTCTTAAGCTGTGAGTAGAGAATTTACAGATTTGTGAAGCTAAGCCATGCAGTCTTTGGTCATGACAGGCATTGGGGTGAACACTGTTGGACTGGAATCTGGACAAGCAAACCTTCTGCCCCAAACTGAATCCTGATCACTTGACTTGAAATGTATATGAGCAACTATAAGATATGGAGACAGTGGCATTCATTCCTATCTGGGCCCCTAAGTGAGAAGAGGAACAAGTACTTCCTTGTCTTTATAAAATGGAATATAAAAGCCTTTCTTTTTGCTTCTTCCATCTCTCCCTCCTGGAACTGCAATATTTTCCTGGTGTTTTGAGCTGAGGAAACTGATTCACCTGATTGAACAACTGTCTTGATTGCCAGAAGCAAGGACCATTGTGGGTTGTCTCTCTCTGCTTATTGAAATTGGCCAAATTGAATCCTACGCTAGAGTAGTGTCACGGACACATTTAGGGCTCCGAGCCTTCGCTCCCCTCCAGGTGATCTGACTGTGTCTCTGGAAGTTTCAGGGTGCCAGCTATGGTGCCCACCACATGAGATCTTCCATCTCCAAGTAGTTGAGGAAGCTTGCTGGCAGGATACGGTATAGGAAGCATCTTCAGGGGGCATCTCTTAGACTGGCATTTATAGAAGTAGCTTTAATACATTCTAATCCCTCAATTTTATTCTTATTTGGTCCTATAATTAGAGACATCTTTCAGATAGGGATTCACTAGGGCCCAGGATGTTAAGTTGCTCTGCTTGCTCTCATTTATGAGTCCTAAATGCAAAAATCAGAGAGACAGTAACCACATTTGAGCATGGATGCCTGATATCAAAGGAGAAAACCCCTTCACAGTTGCCAGCCTGAAAAATAAAACCATGTCCAACCTGCTTTGTATTCCAAGGATGAGGCAGTTGAGATTTTAAAGCCATTATGTGCCTGGACCCTGCAGGTACTCCTTGTTCTACGCTGTAGCTAAGGCTTATTGTATGGCTGCTGTGTAAGAAAAAGTCATACACAAAATATAGAAATTGGATATCCATATGTTTTGCAAGTGGGCATCCAGTTTTTCTCACACAATTTGTTGAAAAAACCACCCTCTTCCTTTTAATGGTTGTGACACCTTCTCAAAAATAAATTAAATGTATGTGTGAGGGTTTATGTCTGGCTGTTCACTCTGCTGTGCTGGCCAGCTTGTCTCTGTGTCAGTACAGTCCTGTAGCTTTGTAGTCAGTGTTCAGGTGGCGCTAGTCCTCTGCCTTAACTCATCTTTTAAGAGATTGTTGCAGTCTTGAGGGACTCTTGGAATTAGGCATGAGCTTAAAAACTGCTCTTTTCTGTTTTGTGTAAGGGGTTATTGATATGGATTGCCTTGAATATGTTGATTTCTTTGAATAGTCTTAACATCATAATAATGTTGTCTTCTTGTCAATACAGATACTTCTTTTTGTGTATATCTGTCTCTACTTCTTTCATTAAAAAATATCCACTAACAAATGAAGATTGTACGTATTTCTGGTGTCCCCCGTGATGTATGTTTTGATACATGGATAGATTATATAATGTTCAACCGGGTAAGCCTACCAATATCCTCAAACATTTGTAATTTTGTTTTCATGCTGGAACACTTAAAGTCCTTTCTGAAATACATACTTCCTCTTTATTGTGACCTGCAGTCATCGTCCTGGGCAGTGGGATGCTGGGGCTTGTTTCTCCTAACAGCATCTTAGTACTTATTGATCAAACTGTCTTCATGCCTTCTCCCCTTTGAGTTTCCATGACTCTTTGACAATCGCTGTTCTACCTCCAATTTCTATGACATCTACTGACTTTAGATTTCTACATATGAACAGGAGCATGCAATCCTTGTCCTTCTGTGCTTTGGCTTGTTTCTCTTAACACAATGGTCAGTTCCATGCATGTTAACACAAATGACACACTTTATCCTTTTATGGTTAAATAGTGCTCCATGTTTGTGTCCACATTTTCCCCCACTTTTTTCAGTTGGTGGACACTTAGGCAATTTTATGACTTCATTATTTATTTCAACAGTGTTTTATAGTTTTCAGGGTGTAACTCTTTCCATCTCTTTGGTTAGATTTATACCCAGGTGTTAAATTCTTTTAGGCAGCATTATAAATGGAATTTCTTTCTTAATTTCCTTTTGGCTTATTTATATTTACTCTTGGCATAAATAACTAAATTGAGAATTTTTCTGTTAATCCTAATACGTGTATACGGGGTGTATTATATGTGCATATACACATATATATGAATTTGTGTGTGTGTTCCAAAATAGATTATTTTTTACTCTTCCTACCAGTTTTGATGTCTTTCCATCTTTTTATTGTGCAGTAGTACTGGATGGAGCTTTTAAGACAGTGATGACTGGCACCAGTGAGATGGGTATTGTTTGGTTCCTAGTGTCTCAGGGGAAGCTTTTAGTTTCTTGCCATTGAGTACAGTGTTAACTTGATATCTTTAATTAACTCTCGGTCATTATGAATTTTTTTCTTTTACTCAGAGTTCTAGAGTCCTCATCACAGAATGGTTAAGTATGTTTTTTATATAAATTTGAGATGATCATGCAGGACTCCCATACACACCTTTGTTCTATTATGTAATACAGTTAATTGATTTGCTTAGATGGAACTACCTTATAATTTCTGGGATAAATTCTACTTGTTATGGCAAATAATACTTCCAATATTCTGTTGGCTTGAATTTGCTCATGTTTTCTTAAGGATACTGCATTTACATTCATAAAGAATATTGGTTTTAAATTTTCTTTTCCTGTGACATACTTATCTGTCGTCAAGCTATTTGATGCCTTATAGAATAGAAAAGAAATATTCTCTTCTATTTTTTGGAAGGGTTCATAAAGGTGGTATAAATGCTTCTTCAGCATTTGACAGAATGCTGGGGAACCCTTCTAGTCCAGTCATTTCTTTTTTTGGGGTTTTGATCACTAATTCCATTCTTTTCTTGTTATAGATTTGTTGAGATTTCCTATTTGAGCTTAAGTAGTTAGGTAATTTTTGTGTTTTCTGTTTCTTCTGAGTTGTTTAATTGCCTGGCATACAATGCTTATAGTTGTTAGCTGATTTTTCTTTTATTGCATACCATTTGTTGCCAAGATAACCCCATGTGTGTGAGTAATCTCATTAATTTTTATAACTACCCTAAGATATAAGTGGGGATAAATTGTGTTATATTTTATTAAATGAAAAGAATAAAATAAAAATTTTAAGTGTTAATTAAATTTTCTGGAGCTTCACATCTCAAAAACAATGGTTTTAGCACTCAGGCTAAAGTTCTCCAGATGGATAGCTCATACTCTTGGGAGAATAATAGAAATGGATATGATTTAAAGGAATGTTTAAACTTTTTGTTTAAAATATAATTTTGAGTGAGTTTACCAAAACAGCATCTTACAATGCCAGCCATTGCTCTTTCAGACTATTTCAAAGTAGGGGCGCATCACCAACATTGGAACATAGATTAATGCAATCCATATATCTAGAATGAAAGCATTTCTGCCATGCTCCCACCAGTGCCTCTATTTTTAGTGTGAGTGGTGAGGTCCAGCAAGAAGATATACTCACCGGTGTAGCCCAACCTGTGAGATCATCAAGGTTTATTTCCTGGGTCTTCTCGTGTACGGAGCTCCTGTCACAGATGAGCCCTAACTAGACATGAGCTTTGAGTTGTCATCTGAGTTGACTTCTTATGGGGATGGTTTGTATCTGTTCATTCAGATTCACTTTCTTAAAAGTGCCACGATTTTCACGTGGTTGGCCAAGGGTCTAAGATGCAGCCACAAAATAAGTGATAGGATAAATGTGGCCATGAGTTTCAGCTTTTTAAGAGGTCTGTGGGACAGTCTATGTGATAGTAAAATGAATAAGTAAAACCAAGCAAAAAAATCTTTTCACTTGTGCTAGTACTTGATGAATAGAAGAGGAATTTAGCAGGAGAAATGAGAATATGCTGGTTTCAGAAATGCATATCCTAATGTTTTCTATTTTTGTGTGCCCTGAACAAAGTGAAAGCAGTGTGTGAGAGCTTTAAATACATTGCTTATTGTCTGCAAACCTTTGCCACAGTGCAGAATCATGCAGGGCTAAGTCTGGACCTGCTGGATCTTTGCAGAGGACCAAGAGATGATGTGCAAAAGTGACACATTCAAGTCTGCATTAGAAACTTTAGTATAGTGGCAAGAACAATGGTACCCCATGAAAGTATGGCCCATAGGTTTGTCAATGTCCTGTGATGCCACCATAATAATTTGTGAAGTTAGGGGTGTGTAACATACTGGTCTTCTGTGTAAGAGGGTGGGAAATGAAATAGGAGACTTTATTCTTTTACTGAAGAATCTGAGTCCTCACTTCTAGTTCTGGGATTTTTTTCCCTCCTACTCTTCCCAAGTCTCAAAATGACTTTTACAATGTGTTAATATCAATGATTTAGAAATCTAAGAATCTACAACTCTCCCAACCCCTTGCCTCTCTGAAGAATGAAAATAGATGGACAGAATTTTGCTGTGAGCTTTTGACTGTGTTTTTTTGATTTTTAAATGACTCCTTTTAGAAAGTAGGATTTATATATGAAATGTACCCATAAAAAATATTCTGGAGGTGTCTAGTGTGTTCCAGGTTCTTGGGATAAGTTTGCCTCCTCTAGTGATTAATTAAATGCACTAAGGTTTGGGCTTTTCTCAGTGTCTCTGTAAATTTAAGAATTTACTCTCTCTCTCTCTTTCACTCGGGACTCTTGGTGTGGAGGGAATGCCAAAGGAATGCTGCCTGTTTTGATGAATGAATTCAGTGCCAGCCACATTTATGCGGGTCTCAATTCTGTTTTGTGCTCACGCTACAAGCATAGCAAGATGGTCAGAAGATGGACTTTTAGAGTGACCGCTGCATTTCAGATTGGTGTTTGGGGATTGTCTTTTTAGACTCGAGGTAACAAGGGCCAGATTACAGTCATGTCTAAAGTGAACCTGTTCCAACAGGCTGCCTCTTTCTTTGTACAAATTTAAAAAGAATGGTCCTCATGCAAACATTTCACATCCAGAAACAAATTTGAAAAAAAAAAATTGCTGCAACATGTTGGCTGATTCCCTGCCAAGTCAGCCACTGCAAACTTTCCTTGATCGACTTTTCCAAAGAACATTAGAGTGTGTAGAAGGAAGTGTGTGACTTTATCACAAACTAAACTCGTATTGCCCTGAAATCCCCCTTCCTGTTACAGTTTTTCTTCCTCTATGGTTTACCCTCATCCCCCTTCCCTGCCTTTATACTCCCCTCCCTCTTCTAACCATCCTTGGTGATATACTCCATTGCTCTAATGTATTCATTTTGACTTTTAGTACTGATACAATGATGGGTTCTGGAGAAATAGCTTTCTGAAGATCTATTCAGATATGCAGATTCAAACCCGCAGAAAGGTTAAAAATATTTTGAAAATATGCTTGTCAACAGTGGAAAGAAAGCTGTTTGTAGCCAGCAGGTGAGCTGGAGAGTACTGCAGGGTGTGGTAGAGATAGTCATAAATTAACTGGCAAGCCAGAGACCATGTAAAAAGCCGACTATTTCACGGCACAGTGGCATGGCAGCTATGGAGAAGGAGTGCCCTGGGGAATTCTTTCAGAGTTTGATTTTTTAAAATATGTTTGACATGAAAAATGTTTTAGTACAAATAAAGCCACTGGTATTAAACTTCCAGGGAGGGGGTTGTGGTGTAGAGTTGCATGAATAATGCATGACATTTAAAGAAAGAACAGCTTTAAAATGTTTGGGGAGGAGGTCTGTGTTGATGGGTGGAACAGTTATTTTTTCCCCTCTATTTTTGAAACATCATTAATTCAGTATCATTTGTGTTTTTTTTAAAAAAAGCTCATAAGATATCCACCAAAAGGAAAAAAAAATACCGTTTGACTTAGATCAAGATATTCTTTCTTCAGATAATTTAGTTTAAATATCAAGACGATCAGTAGACTTATTTAAGCATAAAGTGATAGTCATTTACTATAAAAATAATTTTGCCTAGTTATTTTTTTTAAAAAGCTCATAGAGTAGGACAGACTCAAATCAACCTCATGGAAGGGGAAAAACAAGGTCAGATATTTTGAACATTACTCCATAGGAGACCAGCACAATGTGGCGTTAGCAAGTGCACTGCAGCAGCACCCCGTTTGCAATCAGAAGCCAATTGTTACTGAACTGTGCACAGGCGCACACTGTGCTCAATGGTCTGATGAGGTATTATGGATATGACGCAAAGAGACTGTGCAGATCAGAAGCTAACAATTTGTTAAAAGTGAAAGCGACTTAACATTTACATTGGGCCAGCTGAGTAGCACTTTACATGGCAAGCAGAACGAGTTCCAGGGAACCGGGGGTACCAGGCAAGCTGCAGGTGTTCGCGCCCATGCAGACAGAAAAACAAGAGGTTCTCTTGCTTTCTGGTTGACAGCCTCAGTGCCTGGAATTCTTCCTGCAATGTCTCTTCATTATTACATTCCGTGTTCAGTGTGGAAAAGTTCATGCAAAACAGCATGATTATTATACATGTCAAAAATGTGTGGGTGAACAGCCTATTAAAATATAGCCTAGAGATAGTGCATAACACTGACTTTAAATAAGTAGCTGGGACCAGAGTGCTACTACATTAAGTCATTGATATTGTGTGATTCATCCACAAATATTAATTTTTAGCTCACTTAACGCCATTCCAATATGTCTCTCATCCCCTTCTCTTGGCTCTTTGGGGTTCGGGTGATGGCCTGTGTTCTCAGGTGACAGGAGGTGTTTCAATCTCCTGGGTAGCTGTTGGCATGGTCTTGAAACACTCCCAGGTTTTCAGTGCAGACAGTCCATGCAAAATGTGTAGTTATTTAATTATCATCACTAAAAAGGATTCAGTCAGTGCCTGTGTGCCTGATTCTACACTAGGCTGCCCTACTCTAGTACTGGGGTTAAACCGAAAGACACAGATTTCCACTGTCAGTAAGGTGTCAGCATTTCACAAAGTGCCAGCAGGTAAGATTAGCCATATCAAAGAGGATGTTCTTTAAATCATGTTACTTACTTTTCATGAAATAAAGCTTAGCATTATGGTCAGCCACTAGCAAATAATCTTTTTTGGACTCTAAGACTACACTTTACCTACCAAACTCAAACTTTGTTTCTTCTAAAAGAAAAACCTCTTTTCACAGTGTGCTGAGCATCAGCCTGGCTTTAAGATTTTTTTTTTTTTGACTCTTAAAAAAATGATGTATTACAAGATTTGTAGTGGAGCGAACATGCTTGAATTGCACATTTAATTTTTTTCAACATCACATTCATGTTTTGCCAGTTTGCCTACCAGCTATCTGTTAACAAAAAGTTCCAAGGCGGCAGCGCAAGCCTGTGCCCAGCTAAGCCTTTTGTTTCTGCAGATGTTTGGGCTTAGGGCAATGTTGTAAAGCTCGGGCGAGCCAAGGACCATGTTTATACTTGTCTGCTGCGATTCCCCGTGCATTGTCTAAACCTGTGCGCATTGTTCTTTCCGACAGGTGATAACTACCCCGTACAGTTCATTCCGTCAACAATGGCAGCTGCTGCTGCTTCTGGACTCAGCCCTTTACAGCTCCAGGTAAGTGCCAGGAGGTGAAAAGAATGTGGGAGAAGGGCCAGTGCTTTAGTGGAAACCTGCAAGCCAGCTGTATCCTAAATAATGGCCCAAATGTTAAATCATGTTTTAATCAGTGTCCAGAGAATTAACACCTTATGTACTTAATGCACTGGAAATGGAAGAGAAAAAGACCAGTTCCAGCCGTCTTTAAAGGAACCCTGATGTCACAGTTTGGTACTGTGTGCTCTCTTTCAGAAAGTTAACAGTTTCACATTAAGGCTGGTCACTGAATGTGTTACCCTTTCCTTATCAGTGTTTCATCTGCCTTTCCATTATGCACAAATATACAGATTAGCTTGTCCACCGTCAGTTTTAGACCAGAGACTTTTCTTCCACGTAACTCATGGAATAAGGAGCCATTATTCTGAATTGCTTTGACTGTTTAGTGAAATATAGAAACACTGTTCCTGAGAGTGTAATGTGACATTGTTCTCACCAGGGCTGAAGGTCTAGGCATGAAACCCAACTTAGTTCAGGGTCAGCATCTTTTGTTTATCAAACTAATCATTTTTGGAGGCTGACCAAAAAATTATTTGCACCTTACATTCTTCATAGTAAAATGAAGTATTTTGAATAGGCCTGGGTGGCCTTTACACACTTTTAACAACCCCACTAGAGCCATAAATTGACTTTAAATATGAATATATTTAGTGGTAAAAACAAAGAGTCAAAGTTTTAGCATTTGATTAGTTAGAAATACATGATAAGTTAAATTTCCACACAGTTCGAAGTTCCTTAAAGACAGTCTTTGTTTGATTTTATTTGAGCTTTCCTTTTGAATCTCGGGAGGAACTTCTTGGACAGATAGGGTTTTTGTGTAGCTACCGCCTGTGAGACGTGACCATAAACACAGGCCACTGCCGTAACAACGATGAAAACAAACAAACCCCAAAACTAAAAACATTTTCTGTTGGGGCAGTAGGAAGAAATTTTGCAACACTGGAGAAGTTTCTGTGACAAGCCTCACATTGGCAGCATAAAATTGTCCTGACGAGAGGTACCTGGGACAGGGGCATCTTGGCAGCAGGATGTCCTGCTGCTTCTCTTCACAGTCATTTGCTTTAGACTCCCAACAGTGGGCTCCCAGGGGAAGGTCTAAAAGGGGTCCTCCCATGGGTGACTCTACTCTAGTTCTCCTGGCCCCGCTGTGACTGTGCAGTAGGCGTTCTCTTAAGTTAGAGACGGGGGAAGTCCTCTCTGGCTGCTCCTCTACCCAGTTTCTGTACAACAGAGACTGGGTCTAGGCCTGCGTTCCATCTTTTGATGTGGTCTATACCCTGCATTGAATTCCATGTTGTCTCATGAGTTCTGACAATATGTTTTGTCTTTTTTTTTTCTGAATATGCCATTAAACAGAAGGGTCATGTCTCCCACCCACAAACTAACCCAAGGCTAAAGGCCATAAGTGACCGTTTTGGCAGGAATTTGGACACCTTTGAACATGGTGGTGGCCACTCTTACAACCACAAACAGATTGAGGTATGAATGCTTCTGTTGGTGCTTCTTTGGGTGGGGGACTGGATGGTTCCAGCATATTCTAGCCTTTTGAAAAGTGACAAACAGCCTAAATGCTAAAGCTGGTCTCTTCTTCTTCATTCCTAAGGATGCTTTTCTTTTTTTCCCCTTAAACTAGCTATGTTTTGCCATGTTTTTGCGAGTGGTTTCAAAGCTGTCTTTCCACACTCCTTCCAGTTCTTGTGTATGCTGTTGTAATGTTTAACAAATACTTAAACTTTAAAGATCATTTTCCATTTGACCTTACAGTCCCTGTAACCTTGATCAACTATGGTGCTGACTCTATAGTTCTACAGCTGAGGGCAGAGAGATCCAGAGAGTCTACCACAGCTGTGAAATACTCTGGGTGTTGGGGTGACTACCCACAGTTGCCTAACCCTGTCTGAGTTGGTTTCCTTAGTTTTCTCTGGTTGAAGTTGGGTGCCTGGGTCTGCCTGGGCTCACAAGTTTCTTGGATGCCCTTAAAGTGTTTAACTACCCAGAAAAATGCTCTTTTGTGTTGTTGGAAATTTATACTCTCTTTGTCTGTGTCCCTTAGAAGACGACATCCTTCTCTGCACAGGAGCTCAGCCCTCCTCTCTGTAGTGCCACACTGGATCCCTCTCCTGTATCAATCATTAGCGTCCCTCTCTGGGACTGTCAGATATTGTAGGGCTGCCAGGGAGCCACTGATTTTAAAAAAGATTAATTTTCTGAGTTAGATCAAATACCAAACTTTATATTCTAACCCAGATGAGAACCTTTACCTAATTCTCTCCTCTAAAAACACTCATTGTATCTATGCTCAGCCCTTTGGTCCTGTCAGTGTAGATACATCAGTAATCTCTGACTTTAGATATGATCTCCTCTGCCACTTTTCAATCCACCTGTTCGGAAAATGATGAGGTGACCACACCTAAGAAGAAGGAGGACAAGATAAAACGCCACCTTAAAATGTCCCAAAGACAAGCTGCAGTACTCCCTGTTACTTCCCAGTGATGGGCGCAGGAGGACTGGGGTTTCCACTCTGCCATAACTAGACTCAGATGGGCTCAACACCTGCTGTCTTCTACACAGCCGGAAAAGAGTTCTTTCAAAGGCCTTATGATGGCTATAGAAATGTACCATGTCTTTGTGAAAACCAGCTTGATCCAGAGAACTAAAGAGAAGTGTGTAGAGATTGGGGGCATCTGTGTGACGGTAGATAGCAGGGTGACACACTCAAGACACAAAGCACAAGAGCTCTACGTGCCTAGGAGATTGGGAAAGCAGGTGACCTTGTCTCACTCTTTGTCTTTCAAAGGTCCTCTCTAGGGATATTGCGCTCTGAGCTTCCTCCTTCCTTTAGCTAGGTTTCCACCAAATCTCTCACGTTACCCCATGCTTCACCTGCTGATATCCCCCATCACAGGCACAAATGCTTGTTGTGTCAGATCTGGCTTCTGGAACCCCTTTTGTCATACACAGGGGTACCATAACTTTCCAGAGTCACAAAGGTGCTGACTGAGAAGCTAGTAAGATGTCACTTGTCTATCACTTTAATTGGGCTAGATAGCAAACCCATTCAATGCATGAGCTTTTATAGCTTTGTAGTTTAAGTGTACCTGGTTTGAGAGTATCCTGAGATTTTATTTGTACTATGTTCTCTTGCCTCCATTAAAAAATTTATTTACTTAATTTAAAAATTTCATGATAAGTTGGTTGGTGGTGGTGTACACATTTAATGTCAGTGCTCTGGAGGCAGAGATAGGTGAATCTCCCTGAGTTTGAGGCCAGCCTGGTCTACAAAGCTAGTTCCAGGACAGCTAGGACTACTCAGAAAAACCCTGTCTTGAAAAATGAAAGTTAACTTATTGTAATGAACTCACAAATAAAACCATCACCTAGCTGGCTTACGGAAGCCACTCCCAAACGCCCTGAGTCCCAGTGAGCTTCACACAGTTACTTTGGCCATTTAAGCTTCAACTAGGGCTTTACACTTTCACTGTAAGCTAAATGTTTATGTACTTATCCACCACAAAGAAAAAGTACAACTGTTGAAGTAAGAAGCGGCAGGCTGCGTCCCAGGCACCCGGCCGCCCACATGGCTAGCTTAGCTTATGCCCCGAAATAATTACACGGAAACTGTATTCTTTTAAACACTGCCTGACCCATTAGTTTCAGTTTCTTATTGGCTAGCTCTTACATATTGATCTAACCCATTTCTATTAATCTGTGTAGCCCAAGAGCTGGCTTACCAGGAATGATCTTAACCTGCGTCTGTCTGGAGTGGGAGAATCATGGCGATTCCCTGACTCAGCTTCTTTCTCCCAGCATTCCATTCTGTTTACTCCGCCTACCTAAGGGTTGGCCTATCAAATGGGTCTAGGCAGTTTCTTTATTAATAAGAAATCACTCCCACATCATACAACAAAGCTGAAACTAGAAAAACAACTAGTTTATATCCTCTTTCATAGCTCCTGTATCCTTTTGCCTGCGTTCTGTCTGTTCCTTGTTACCCAATATTACCTTATCTTGGTTTTCTTTCTAAATGTTATACTTTATCCACATTTATAATTGTCTGTGTATAGAAGTGTATACCTCGTAGATTAAATCTGATTCTGAGAAAGGATATGTGGTTTTACCGTTCCATCAAAAATATTATTTTCCTGCGTGTCTACAAACCTTGATGTTTATTTCTGTGCTGCCCTGGCTGCACTTGTGTGAGATGCAGGTTTCCCAGGCTCTCTGGCTTGAGCATGGCGTATTTACCAGGATATCTTTAAACGCCACAGCAGAAACCTATATCTAAGCTGCTGGGCAGTACTGTTTAGAACAATATTAGACTATTTAGAGGAAAAACTTAATAACTTGCTTTATTACTGTTAAATCACCGCCTCTGTAAGTCCGGGTTCTCTTCCTCTCTCTGACAGGCTAAAATGTCATGGTTCTGTCAATCACTGGGGTCGTGATAAGCTGTGACAGTGCCTGCTCTCTGGGAGGAGCTCGCTAACAAACTGGCCCTCAGCCGATGCAGGCGCAAGACTTTCTCTACCCCTTGACTTTCCTTCAGAAGCTGTCATTTCAAATGTCAGTAAGTCTGCTCTTCAGCAGCACTAGCCACACCCTAAAGTCTGAAAGTTTGCATCCTGTGGAGAAAGGCATAAAAACTGAATGACCTTCTGACATTAGCATATTCCAGTGAGTCTTAAATTAAGGAAGACACCGAAAGCTTTTCTGATCTAAGGCCTGGTTGTCTCTGCCTCAGGGGCACAATATCAGGAGAGAGGAGGCCAAAGGTGCTATTTTTAGTTAAACAGTTCAGCAGATGGAGGGACGAATGCTCATATATCTGAAGGCTGGGGGGCTTGAATCATTAATTTTGATAATGTATTTAACCCTGGGAACAATCGGAAACTGTAACTCTAAGGTTACAATGCTTTTGACCTTTCCAGAACAGAGGGCACTATCCACGGTAAACAATATAT